TCTAGCAGCGGTCCGGTGCCTGTACACCTACATATATATATGAGCAGTGAGCTAAAGCCCAGTGAATAACATATGCGTAAAGAAGTTAAGAATGAATGTCCTTTCAGTATTGAAAACAGTCATTTAAATAGTATATCAGTCGTTCAGTTTGTGGCTCATAAATTATGCCACACAGTAATTCTGAAACTATAATAGTCATATGTGGTACACCCAATAGCAAAACTGTACAGTAGGTCTTAACAGACCGAGCAGTCAATGATGGCCATCAATAATGGTTCCAAATGTGGGAACCGACAGAGATCTCTGTAACAGTAGCAGTAACAGTTCAGTAATAGTATATTGCTATGGATGCCACGAATACAGTTCACAAATAGGACAAACATTCATTCAGTAAACAGTGTCATTTCATAAAACAGTACAGTCATTTGTTCAGAAAATAATCTCAATTGAACATATCTTTACAACAATGTTACTCACAGAGTTCTGGGCTACAGATAAGCTAGTACGCGTCCTCGGATGCCAACCTTACACAGTTACAGAGTGAACACACACTGAGCTATACAGTTGGGAAAATAATAACTTAATCCCTAATTTGCCTCAGTGTGGTTCTACATCAATATCCTCATTAAAATGCCTTAAACTAGGCCTAAGAATGCCTAGAATGAAATAAGGATGCAAAGATGTACTTTAAAAATATTTTCAGAATTTTCAGAAAACAGAGGTCCCGCTCGAGCGTGGGTTTCCCCGCTCGAGCGTACATGCAAACAAAAGGCTCCGCTCGAGCGTAAACTTTTCTGCTCGAGCATACTGCAAAAGTACTAGATGTGTGAAAATCACGCTCGATGGGCGCTCGACACCCGCTCAAGCGTGTGACACAAGTCCTCGCTTGAGCGTGCAAAACCCCGCTCGAGCGGACTGTAAACACAACAAAAGTGCTGGATACACGAATTTCTCGCTCGAGCGCCACTTACGCCGCTGGAGCGGGAGTCCAAAATCTGGAATTTCCAGATTTGAACCTCAAGCTCAAAATCAAGTTTTAATGCATCAAATTCGATCCCCTTGGGCTAATTTTCTAGAAAACACTTGTAAATTCATAGTTTAACATGATTCAAAGCTCAATTTGTAAAATCAAGGCCCAAAGGTAGTTCAATTGAACACAAATTCAAACAAATTCCATGAACATGATGTTAAACATAACATGTATGAATTAAATCAACTTCAAGCTTCCAAAACATGAACAAATGAGCCAATTCTTTCTATAACAAGATGAATTCATGGACTACAACAATAATATGGGCATGCATGTGAGGAATTTCCATGAAAACAACTTTAAACTTCAAAATATATACATGCATGCATGATCTCAATTCAACATTGTAAACCAATTCTAGACTTAGATGACTAAATTACCATGAGCCATGCAAGAATTAACTTAAATTCACAAACAAGAAGGTAAATGTTCTACCTTAGGTCTAGAATGCAAGATATACAAGCTCAAATTGCACAATTAGCCTTCAATTCTTCTAGTTTCCAAGCCAATTCTCAAATGAAGCTAAGTTTCTCCTTTCTCACTCTTTCTCTCAGTTTGGTCTCTCAAGGATGAACAAGAATGAGATACAAGACTAAGCTTTCAACAATATTGGTGAAGTGGCCCACTAGATGGCATTTTAGTACATAAAGCCAACTTATGTAATTTATCAATATTTAATCTAATTTAATCATACCAAATCACATTCCAATTAAATATACCATAAAATTATATAAATCTTAATTAGCACAAAACATCAATCAATTTCAGATTCAGCCGCCGATACGGCCTTCAATTTGCAGTTTAAAGCATAAAACATGAACAGTTAATTTAACAGTCAACAGATAGAATTGCATTTCAACTAGCACAATCAATCAATCAGTTTAGTAATTTAGTCAATCAGTCAGTTAACATGCTTAATCATGGATTAGCACTAATCAGTGGTGAGGGTTGTCACACCAACCCTCATTCCACTCTCCAGGCAAGGAAAACAAGGTTTGTGCCAAAAACAAACCAAAAAGGATGCAAGACAAGAGTCCGGGGGTCGAGGCGCGTAGTCGAAAGCCTCGAAAACTAGTCTACGGGCACCAAAAGTGGTCTACAAGGGAAAAGTGGTCTCCACGACCTCTGTGTCCCTCTAGACCAAGGCAACAAGGCATGGTTTGAAAACCAGGCCAAAAGGAGAACGGTAAGCGGTCCCGAGACAAGGCGCGCGGCCGAAAGCTTCGAAAATCAGAAACTAGTCTACAGGAGGGAAAAGTGGTCTGCAAGACCCCTCTCTCCCTCCAGGGAAAGGAAAACAAGGTTTGGTTCAAAACCAAACCAAAAAGGAAGCAAGACAAGGCGCTCGGCTGAAGGCTCCAGAAACCAGAACTAGCCTATAAGAGGGAAAAGTGGTCTACAGACCTCTCTCTCCCTCCAGGCAAGGGAAAATAAGGCATGGTCTACAAACCAAGCCAAAACACAAAGAGTTCAAAGGCCCAGAGGCACGGCACTCAGCCGAAAACCCCGAAAACTCGAAACGAGCACAAACATGCGCGATCACCTTGTGCTCAAACGATGACGTCTGAGTCTTAAGGTCGGTCAAAAATGGGGTGTCTACACTCTCCCTATTTGGGAATAACATTTTCAGGTAATGAAGGCATGCCTCCTCTAAGACAATAGCATTGGATGGACCTTTAAGAAGCAAGATGTAACGCCCCAAAATTCATGATCATTAAAAAAAAAAAAGTACAAAATACAACTCAAACAGGATAGATAACCAAAACATCTTAATATACACATATAAGCAAAGCTAATACCATAATTAATTCATTTGTGGTCCGCAATAGGATTACAAACACTGTCACACCAAAAGTCAAAGTACAAAAAAAACTACTAGTCTAAGTCTTCAAGTGAACCACGGCTCCAACATTTCATCTTGGTTGCCTTTGGGATAACTTTCACCATCGTAAACTGCTTCCTCACCTGGCATGACACGCCATGAGTTTGGAATACTCAGTAAAAACACACACACACCCATATCTTCTATCAACCAATCTACCATACACATAACAAATCGGGTAACATAACATACGTTCTATGGATTAGTAGTTAAACTAGATATCTAGAATCCCCCAAAGAGATCTTTTTACTAAACCACAAGGCTGAACACCAGACTACTCAGAACTCCCCCTTTTGCTGCTTTGCAGACCTTACCACCGATGCTCACCTCCCGGTTATTTACCGGTTAGCGACATTGATGGATTTCAAAAGGGACGGCCAAACAAGTGGGCTCGCTTACACCCAAATCGTGCCTAAGGCTCGCTTACACCCTGCACATACCATACCAAAGGACTCGCTTACACCCTGAAACCACCGCATAGAGTCTGAATACATCTGTGTCAACCTAGGGGCTTGCTTAGATTGCTTGCGCAAGACTTAGCTCATTTGGTATTAATCCCATCATAATTCATGTCATTCATATGTATATTACATAAATCATTTTAAAACACAAGGGTGAACGTCGCCCATTAGCAATCTCTTTCCATTTCCCGTTTATTAGATATTTTGCTAAGCAAGTTAGTCACATAAAAGAGCATGAGACAAACATAAGAGAGGAAATATAACCTATGATAAGCATACATAAGTATGGTAAAGCAAAAAAACAACATTAGGAATGCTTTGAAACACTTAGAGACAAATAACACAATAAAACACAATTTCCAGCACTATTCACTTCTGTAGAGCTAACAATAATGCTTTGGTAAAAATACTTCCAGGTCAAATTAGGGGATGAAATTGCACATAAATAATAATCAACCTGTCTAATTTTAGTGACAATTCTCAGAATTTTCACAGCACCTCCAGAAATTCATCTATAAGCTATATTTGAAAACCTGTCCAGATTTGTCACCCTTTAGGAAAACTAGCTTTCCTCTCAATCTACCCGATGATTTTCACCCAAATAAATTCCATTGGAAAGAGGACTCAGAATCCTAAATTTTGATAGAAGAACCAACATGAGATGATTTTTTTGAAATTTTATAAAATTGCAAGAAGTGGACTGTTTTTCAGAGACTCGGGACCAGATTTTTAAACAAAATATCCAAGCCCTAAAAACACACAATTAGGGGCTAATAAAATTATCACAAGCTCTAAAAACACCAAATAGCCTACACGAAATTCAGATTTGATAAATAAATAAATTTGATATTTCTTTTAAATTTGAGAAGTTACAGCAGTGCCTAATTTGACAAATTTGCAAGACAATGTTACTAACTCATACCCACACTTTCATACACACCAAACCCTATTTAACACTAATATGAAACACAAGAGGGCATCTAAACAATAGGATGAGATGGGGGAAAGAACTGGGGAAGAGAAGGGAGATGTGTTCTTACCTTCTTGAGTCACATTTTCTTCCTTTTCTCTTTTTTTTTTTTTTTTTTTTTTTCTACTTCCCCTAATCACACTCTCCCTCTCTCACCCTCTCCCTGGGCTGCTGAAACGTGAGAGTGGAAATTAAGACAATGATCCCAATTTATAAGCCATGAATTTGGGTTAGAAAGACCATTCTACCCTTCTAGCTTAATGACTAAGAAAACTTATAAATATCTAGATATTTTTCCACTAATTTGCTCAAATAAATAATAAAACTATTTATTTAAAGATATTTATGGCTATTTAATTAATAAAGATTCAAAGAATTAGTAAATATGCAACTAGGCTAAACAAATATAGAAACTAGGAGGTAAAATAAATAAAAGCCAAATGTTAGGGTATTTCTAATTATAAAGTGGTGTTCTAGGATTTAAAAATATTCTTTATTGGGCCATTATGCAGACTTTTATGGAACTTGGGGCTAAAATGCTATTAACCTAAGGCGTAGGGTTTCAAGTGTAGTTACCAAACATTAGGGTCTCTACAACCTATCCCCCTTAAATAAATTTCATCCTCGAAATTAAATCACACCTCACGTCTCAAATAGTTATGGATAATTTGCCTGTATCGCGTCTTCACACCAGATGAACTCTTCAATACCATGGTGACGCCAGAGTATCTTAAGAAGTTGAATTGTTTTTCCTCGCAAGTTCTTTTCTTGTCTGTCCATAATTACCACGAGTTCCTCCTCAAAGGTAACGTCTTCATTGAGTTGGATTTCTTCCCAGTTCATGATGTGAGAAGGGTGAATTATGTACTTCCGCAACATAGATACATGGAAAACATCATGTACTCCAGCCAACTGTGGGGGTAAAGTCAATTTGTACGCAACCTCTCCAATTTTCTGAAGTATCTCGAAGGGTCCTGTAACGCCCTCAAAATAAAAGCATAAATCAATCATTCATAATATCCATAGACATAAGAAAATAAAATACATTCATTCATCAGAGTGTTTTCTACAAAAGATATTACATGTTGACAACAATAGTAAATGCCCTGCGGGCTTACAACTTTCCCAGTCAACACTTGGTTACAACAAGAGAGAGTCAAAAGCCCTTTACAATTAAAGCCCTTGGCTTGGAAATAAAAACATGTAACACAAATGAAATATTAACAATAGAAGCCTGTTGCCTCTATAACACCCAAGCTAGGTCCTTGGAGGCTACATGTCTCCTGTACCTGAAAATGATATCCCATAAAGGGCGAGCCAAAGCCCAATAGAGATATGCTAAACCAAATATAAGAAATAACTAAAACATTAGCATCTGATAAATGTTCAACACATGTACATCGATTTACACCATTTCTGTAACCCATCAACATTGTTATCCATCTTTCAAGCCAATTTCATTATATTTCCAATTCACTTTATTGACATGGTTCATTTATCCAAGTAATTCAAATGAGACTACAACTCATAAAAACAACACTTCAATTCATCAACAATTCAAAATAAGACTACAACTCATAAAGACAACACTTCAATTCATCAACAATTCAAAATGAGATTACAACTCATGTTATCAACACTTCAATCATCAACATCATTTAGATGTATATAAGGTTTCGAGACTTTCACCATGGACACTCCGGCCAACTTAATTATCAATGGAATCCATCCCTTATCTCCTCCCAAACTGTGGAGTACATCCCATTTCTCCTCCCAAATAAAATACATATGCAATGCATTTAAATACTTTATCATATACAATGATCAATTAAAGCACATATTCTATGTGTTAATCCAACCGTCATATTCAATGACATAATTCAATTGATTAGTTTCAGTTTACCTAATCATCATGCAACTCTATAACAATCATAGCTATCCTCCACCGATAGCCCAAACAATTATCTCTAAACAGATAATTTAAATTTATCAAACAGATAAATTAATACATTTTCCATAGGTAAGCGATTTTCAATCCAACTACACCAATTAATTACATTTTCTCCCAATTTCATCATTTCCAACTCAATTACATATTCCCATAGTTAATTCCATTATTTTGACAAATAATTCATATCATCCCAATTAGGGTATTTTTCCTTCTTTCTCAAATAACACTTCTAAAGCTCAATTTCATCAATTATACACACATAACCCCATTTCAAAACCTAAAATTCACAATAGAGTCCAAAACCAAGAAGCCCCTCTTTTATGATTTCAAATCAAACCCTAACTTCCCAAAACTTCCAAAATCTCTACATTTATACAAATGCCCAACATTTATGTTAAAACTTATAGAAATAAGTAGATTTATCCCTACCTCAAATGCAGAGACTCGAAGGAGATGAAGAGAGGAACCCAAGATGCTCTAAATCTAATATTTTTCAGATCAAAGTGTAGCCCACGCGACACTCCACCCTTTTTATAAAGAAAGTATGGTAGAAACCCTCTAGATTAAGTGTATTTGTAGAGAGAAGAAGTGTATAGAGAGAGAGTGTGTCGAATCTAGGGTTTGGAGAGAAATGGAGATGAAAAAGTGATATATAAACCCACTGCTACAAACTGATATAAATAGGGCTCGCTCGAGCGAAGAAGTGGTCGCTCGAGCGACCAGACACAAACGGACCTCGCTCGAGCGTAAAAAGAGTCGCTCAAGCAAAAAATGAGAAGCTTCATGTCTGCAACCCAGACGCATGCTCGAGCGCAAGAGTGCTCGCTCGAGCAAAGGAACACAAAACATAGAGCTCGCTCACTCAAGCGACAAAAGCCTTGCTCGAGCAAAGAATACCAACCTTCAGGTTTTTCTAAGACGCAGACGCACGCTCGAGCGCAATAATGCACGCTCGAGCGCAAGAGACACACCACACAAATCTCGCTCAAGCTAAGGAACCCTAGCTCGAGCGAAGGAACTAAAACCCAATGCTTGCTCGAGCGACAAAAGCCTCTCTCAAGCGAAGGAACCTAAATCTGGGCAGCAACCATTTGTTCAAACACCCAACCAACCTGTTCCAATCTTACCCAACACATGCCAAAACTCAAATACAAGGAATTAAAGGATGGAAACAAGATATAGACAACAACAACCAACTATGGAACCTAAGTCTGGAACACATTATATGACGGGGGAAAACCGGGATCGCTATAGGTTCGATATATCGAGGTGATAATTTTCCTTTCTTTCCAAAACAGATGATCCCTGGGTGAGCTGAATTTTCAAGAAAACATGATCACTGACACTGAAAGTTAGAGGTCTTCTCCTCTTATCTGCATAACTCTTCTGACGATCTTGAGCTGCCACTAATCTTTGTCGAATAAGTTTCACCTTTTCTGTAGTTTCTTGCACGATCTCTGGGCCCAATAGACTCGCTTCTCCAACTTTAGTCCAACAAATTGGTGATCTGGAAGGCCAACTATACAGTGCTTCGAATGGAGCCATGTCAATGCTGGCCTGGAAACTATTATTGTTTGTGAACTCTACCAACGGTAGGTGTCACTCCCAATTCCCCTTGAAATCCATCACACAAGCTCTTAACATGTCCTCTAAAGTCTGAATGGTACGTTCTGACTATCCATCAATTTGAGGATGAAAGGCGGTACTAAAACATAATTCGCTCCCTAGCGCCTCTTGTAAGCTTCCCCAGAATCGGGAGGTGAAAAGCGGGTCCCAGTCTGACACAATTGATATAGGAATTCTGTGTAATGGGACAATTTCTTTAATATAGAGATGACTCAGTGATATCAAAGTGTCCAAGAGTTTATATGGCAAAAAGTGTGTAGTTTTCGTCAAACGATCAACTATAACCCATATAGCATTATGTCCTCTAGGTGACCTGGGTAGTCCAGTGACAAAGTCCATTGTTACATGCTCCCATTCCATTCTAATATCGGCAAGGGCTGAAGCATCCCTCCAAGTCGCTGGTGTTCTGCCTTTACTTGCTAATACGTAAGGCATCTGGCTATGAATTGAGCCACATCTTTCTTTATTCCATTCCACCAGTATTGGCGTTTTAAGTCTTGGTACATTTTCGTCTCTCTTGGGTGCACTGCGAACACTGAATGATAGAACTCTTTCAGAACTTTTTCTCTAAGCAACTCATCTTGTAGTACAAACACTCTGCCCTGATGTCTCAAACTTCCATCTGAGTGAATCATCCAATCAGGTATAGGATCGCCGGATGCTATTCGCGCTTTTATGCACGCCGCTACCTTATCATACTTCTGTAACTCTATTACCTCGTTCTATAATTTGGGCGTAACAATTTGAGCACCAAGGTATACCTTCTCGTCCTAAGCTTTCATCTGTACTCCAAACTCATTAAGTGTTCCGACCATGTTCCATTCCTTGAGTGCCAAGCTAGTAATAATTCCCCGGTTCTTGCAACTCAGGGTATCCACCACTACGTTAGCTTTGCCAAGATGGTAAGATAGAGTAAAATGGTAATCTTCGAGATATTCTAGCCACCGTCTTTGTCTCATGTTCAAGTCCTTCTACGTAAACAAATACTTCAAGCTCTTATGGTCCGTGAAAATCTCAAATTGTTCACCATACAAATAATGACGCCATTGCATTAACACAAAAACCATCGTTGCCAACTCTAGATCGTGTGTCGGATAATTCTTTTCATGCGATTTTAGTTGCCTGGGGACATAAGCCACCACCTTCCCCTTTTGCATTAACACACAACCTAACCCATCCTTAGACGCGTCACAATATACTGTATATCCTATGTCTCACTTCGGAATGATGAGTATTGGGGCACTAGTCAATCTCCTTTTGAGTTCTTGAAAGGATCGTTCACATGCTTCATTCCAATCGTATTTTACTCCTTTTTGTGTTAGGCGAGTCATCGGCTTAGCCAGCTTGGAAAAATCTTGAATAAACAGTCGGTAATAGCTGGCCAACCCTAAGAAACTGCGAACTTCGAATATTGAGGTTGGTTACTTCTAATTTAATACTGCTTCTACCTTGACCGGGTCTACTGCAATCCCATGCTCAGACACAATGTGTCCCAAAAATTTGACTTCCTTCAACCAGAACTAGAATTTACTTGCTTTCGCGTACAGCTCGTTGTCTCTTAGAACCTGGAGAACCACTCTCAAGCATTGCTCGTGTTCTTCTTCAAACGATGAATAAACTAGAATGTCATCAATAAACACCACCACAAACCAGTCCAAGTATGGAGTAAAAATCTTATTCATCAAGCTCATGAACACGGCTGGTGCATTGGTTAATCCAAAGGGCATTACCACAAATTTGTAATGGCCATATCAGATTTGGAAAGCAGTTTTTGGTATATCATCATCTGCGACCTGCAATTGGTGATAGCCAAATCTAAGATCAATCTTTGAATAACACTTTGAACCTCGAAGTTGGTTAAAAAGGTCATCAATCCGTGGAAGTGGATATTGGTTCTTAATCGTCACCCGATTGAGTTGCCGATAATCTATGCACAATCTTAGTGTTCCGTCCTTTTTCTTTGCAAATAGAACTGGTGCTCCCTACGGTGCTCACCTATACCTGAAAATGGTTTCCCAAGTAGGGTGAGCCAAAGCCCAGTAGAGACGTGCTAAAACAATATATGAGATTTAACTGAGATATAAGCATCAGATAAATGTGTAATATTCTTAACCAACATATATTCTTTTCAAGGCCATTTAATATCGATAACCAATACCTCAATTCATTTCCATTCATCCATTTCGAGTAAATCTATTAACCAAATTCATTATTATCAAAACAACCAATATGAGACTACAACCAATATGAGACTACAACTCAATAGTTCACAATTCAATACATTCATCAATCCAATACTTCTATTTCTTGCCATTTTACGGAATCACATCCGAGGGAACCGGCACCCATAAACACATAAGATTTCGGGACTTTCACCCTGGACACTCCGGCCAACTTAATTCTCAATGGAGTCCATCCCCTATCTCCTCCCACACAATGGAGTACATCCCATATCTCCTCCCAAACTATGATACATATACAATATATTTAAACACGTTGTCATATACAATGACTAATCAATTCACATATTCAATGGTTTAATCAAACCGTTACACTCAATGACATAATTCAATTGATTAGTTTCAATCTTCCTAATCCTTATGCATTTTCTACAACAATCATAGCTATCCTTCACCGGAAAGCCCAACAGATATTTCTAAACCGATATTTCTAAACAGATAAGTAAATCTATCAACAGATAATTTATCAACTTTTTATAGGTGTGTGATTTATCAAACCTAACTACACCATTCAATCACATATTCCCCTAATTTCATAATTCCCAAACCAATTTCATTATTTACACAAATAGTTGATTCAACTCAACTTAGGGCAATTTTCCCCCTATTCCAAAACACCAACCCATAGATCTAAATCTCACAATTTCAACAATAAAAAACCTCGCACACAAACCCCCAAAGTTAATTTGTAAATCGACATGAAAACCCCTCTTTAGTTTAGAGCCCAAACCTTAACTTTTACCCAAATCACTCCCAAAATCCCTCAATTTATACAAAATGACAAATATCTAGGTTAAAACCCATATCAAAGAGTAAAATATCCCTACTTCAAAGTTAGGAGAGCAAAGGAGAAAATGGAGACACTTCAAACAAGCTGTAACCAAGATCTGTTTGGATCAACACAAAGCCCTCAAGGTGCTCCACCTCTTTAACCAAGGCTCAAGGGTGTAGAAATCAATGGATGGAGATGAAAATATAGAGAGAGAGTGACCTTTAGAGAGGGGGAAAGCAGATCTAGGGTTTTAGGGTTAAAAGATACAAAAATCTATGTAAAAGATGAGCTGCTGCGAACTGATATACAGAAGGCTCGCTCAAGCGAATGAGTTGTCGCTCGAGCGACCAGACACAACATGTGACCTCGCTCGAGGGCAAGAAGTGTCACTCGAGCGCAGAATGCAAAGCTTCAAGTCTGCCACAAACGCAGACGTACGCTGGAGCGCAAGAAGTCTCACTCAAGCGAAGAACTTCACCCTTCCAGAAAAAATGCGTCTGAGAAAGAAACCTGAAGACCCTCAATCCTCGCTTGAGCGCAAGGAACCTTGCTCGAGCGAGGAAGCAATTTACACAAGGCTCGCTCAAGCGCAAAAAGCCTCGCTCGAGCGAAGAGACCAAAATCTGGGCAACAACCATTTATACCAACTAACAACCAACCTATTCCAAACTCACCCAACAATTCCCAAAACTCTATTTCAAAGAATTAAATGAAGGAAACAAGACATAGACAACAACATACAATCACAGAATCTGAGTCCGGAACACAACAAAGGTTGGGGTAAAACCGGGATCGCTATAACCTCCCCTATTTAAAGAATTTCGTCCCCGAAATTTTGTGCAAGTTTTAAAGCCATGATTATCCAATTTCCAAACTGATTACAATTCAATTCTCATCACCATGACCCACTCACTGGTCATTCAATCTCTTCGCAAGAAGACAATTCCACAATATATAACTTAACATGTTTTATCAATATGCATTTTCGAAGTTCAACTACTTCCAAGATGTGCATCTCACATTTTCAAAACGTATTCAATGTTTATAATAAATTTGCATTTCCAAAACTTAAACAACATATAAAATGTTTTTATAGTTTATAATCAAAACTAAGGTTTCAACATACATTCAAACATCAATAAGTAAGTCCGGATATTTCTCTCGGACTTCTAATTCACACTTCCAAGTTGCTTCTTCAACACTGTGATGTTTCCACAGTACCTTGACCAAGGGAATCATCTTGCCTCACAAGACTTGGTCCACCTATCCAAGACTCTCACCGGTCTCTCCTCATACGAGGCATCCTCGTCTACCTTTAAGTCGGTCCAATCCAGCACATGCGATGGATTCGGCTCATACTTTCGAAGCATTCTAATATGAAACACGTCATGTACTCCGGAAAGTTGCGAAGGCAACGCCAAACGGTATGTAACCTCCCCAATCCGCTCAAGGATATCAAAAGGGCCAATAAATCGAGGGGATAACTTCCCACTCTTTCCAAATCTCATCAAACCCCGTCTAAGTGATATTTTCAAAAAGACATGATCACCCATCTCGAATGACAAAGGTCTCCTCCTACGGTCAGCATAACTCTTTTGGCGACTCTGGGCTGTAACCAACCTCCTACAGATAAGTGCCAATTTCTCTGTCGTTTTCCGAACCAACACTGGACCTAACAAAGGTGTATCACCCACCTCGGCCCAACACACTGGAGATCTACACGGTCGGCCATATAAGGCCTCAAACTGTGCCATGCCAATACTCGATTGGAAACTGGTATTGTAGGCAAACTCCACTAAGGGTAGGTGTCTCTCCCATGACCTTTTAAAGTCAAGAACACAGCCTCGAAGCATATCCTCAAAGCTCTGAATAGTACGCTCGGACTACTCGTCAGTCTGAGGATGGTA